CCCCCCCCCCATGGATCCACCGTTTTCGCCTTTCAGTACGCGACGTCGAGCACGACATGCTAACTTTTGACTTCTAGGGCCGAGGGTTAGGGTTCAGGGTTTGGGGTTTACGGAACGCTTTCAGTGAGAGACATGTGACATGACCATTCAATGCAAGGCCTCTTCGGTTGAGAGCATTCGTGCACCACCTTGACGAGCATCATGAGCATAAGTTGCGCATCCGCACCGCGTCGCACTTCTGAAAGACAATTAACAGAAACGCTATATATATATACACACACACCATTATGGGCTTCCCCGTTGAGGCTGCGGCCTCCTCGTTAAAGGATTTCACGACGGCAGGCAAGAGCGCTGCGGCTCCCTGGGCACAAAGCTGCTCTCCTTCTCTCAGCGTCTGCTTCCACAGATCTCAAGGTCGCCTGCTCCTCCTGCTGTATGCTTTTGTAATACACCGGTGTCCCACGAGGCCATGCCTGCTCAGGGTCAGCAATAATTCCTGTGGTCCTAGAAAACTAGGTTCCTCAGTGACCCCCTTTTTGCGTTTGAATAGGGAGACCCCAATATTACAAAAACACAGAAAGGGTACTACTCAGGAACCTAGAAAGAATACTCTCCCGGCCTCTTCAGCAGTGATGTCCTTCATCGGGGCAACTCGCCAGGGATCCGCATGAGGCCGCACGTCCAAGTTGTACGTGCCTGCAGGCTTCCACAACATCTTTGGTTCGGCAGCATTTATCACAAAATCCGTAGCATGCATACTGCTGAGAGCTGGGCCGTCAAGATCATTAAAACCCTCTATACTCGCCGGCAAGAACGGATACTGAATTGACCTGGGCGAGGCGTAGCAAGAGATCTGCTCGATGGGCCCGGCTGAGGCTACCGCGAAGTAGGCTCATACCGACATTGCGTGCCTTGCGTCACACGAGAGGAGTAAGTTGCTTCCAAGCTTCTACCCGAGGTTTTGCACTCCTCCAATCCCCTGAAATATGCCCACGATCAACACGAAAAGCGAGAGACAGAGAGAGACAGAGAGAGAGGG